GGCAGGCACAGATGGATGTTCTGGCTGCTGGATAAACGCCGCCACCTGTGGGCCACTAGGCCCAGACAGCTGTGAAACCTCTCTGTAAAACAAATTAAAATGTAGGACAATAATTACAACTAATTTCATTGAAATAAAGTTCAAGTAAAATGTTGCTCAAGCACAAATAACAATGCGCACAAAAAAATAAAGTTTGGGAGGTTGCAGAAGGAGTCTCTCTCGATCTCACACACACACACACACACACACACACACACACACACACACACACACACACACACACACACACACACACACACACACACACACACACACACACACACACACACACACACACACACACACACACACACACACACACACACACACACACACACACACACACACACACACACACACACACACAATAATAATAATTTCAATTTATATAGCGCCTTTCACGAAACCCAAGGACGCTTTACAATGGGAAGTAACAAAACAAAAAGTAATAATAATCATACAGATACATAGGCTGAAGAAAACAAAACAGGAACAGGTTGCTGAGTACTGTATATTAGTTGAGGCCAAAGGCCTGAGTGAACAGATTGTGTTTGAGGTGTTTTTTGAAGGTGTCCAGAGTGTCTGCATTCCTGGTACACACAGGTATTTCCAGTTACTTTACATTCAGTATAAAATCACACACACATAGGCTACATCTGATTACAAAGTCTCATCTGTACAGGATGGTAAAATAATAACAGGCACACATATAAATAAATCTATGACAAAGTCTCATCTGTACAGAACAGTATGATAAAATAATCGATGGCAAAAACATGTCACTGTAAATGTCTCCGTTGTGGGACGAATAAATGATTAATTTAATCATCTACACATGTAATCTCACTTTTACACACCAAAATAACGTTAACACAGAGTAAACATTTGCTAATGGAAAGTCTATTTTGTCCCAATAAAAAGTTCATGACTATCGATAAAAAATATATATCAATAAACCTATTGTTCATTTTCGCGGTATTCCCCACACATTGCCAGTACACTATTACTGTAATATTTACACTTACCCATGTCCAATGGATCCTTGTTGTTGTCTTTGTATTCTTCTTCTTCAGAAGAGTCAAAGACTTCAGGTTCTGAGGCTCTATCTTCACTGCTGCTAGCGAAAAAAATCTCTAGCGAAGTCGGCAACTGTAAAGTTTTTTTTTAGCCATTTTATCTGTCTCTCTCTCTCTCGTAAACTGATGGGAGGCACGTGGTTTATGTTGTTTTTACTTGGTGGGTAGGCCCTTAGTGATTTCTCGATGTCCATTGGTCATTTCAGACCATGATGGCTGCCGGCCGAGATTTCCTTGACGGACACACAAATCCACCAATCCCACACAGTGTAAAGTCAAGCTGCTTTGAGCAGCCATATTGGCTGCTGTGCCCTGGTTACAGTCTCACAGGAGATACCGCTGGAAAGCTATTCATTCTAATTCTTACTAGATACAACCATGGAGGATTACAATATAACGCATGCATTTCAGCGTGTCACATTAACTATCGCGGGCCGCCAGAAACATTTCCGAGGGCCGCCATTGGCCCGCGGGCCGCACTTTAAGAACCCCTGGTTTACGTTGTCCGTGTCAACAGGAGTGACAGTCCGCACACACACAAGACCGCAATTATGGCAGAAGCAAAAGAGCCCAAAATATATAATTTTCACTCCGATGATTATTTTTGTATCTATTCCAATTCAAAGTCCATCTGTCTCATCTGCAATGCGAGCGTGGCTTTATCGAAGAAGGGTAATTTAGGAGCGGCATTTCAAAACAGTGCACAAACGCTGCGAGACGGAATTCCCTCCTAATTCTGCCCTACGCTCCAAAAGGGGAGGGGCCTGAAAGGACAGCTAAATGCACAGCAGTCCATTTTCACCAGGCCCAACAACAAGAGCAAGGCTGCTACCAGAGCATCTTATCGTGTCAGTCACGTTCTTGCCAAACACATGAAGTCTAGCAAAGACAGCGAAGTTGTGAAAGAAGCATTCCCGGAGGCTGCCGATGCGCTTTTTGGGGACAGTAAAAAATAACAGTAGCATTTCAACAGGTTTTTGATATAATAAAAACTAAAGTTAAATACCGTTATTAATCAGCTGTAAGTTTGAACTTATTCATTATAATTATTGTACAAAATGGTATAAGAATGCAAACTTAAATTGATTATAGTCTATTATCAATTCAGGTTAAGAAACTAGTGTTGCTTGCATCCTATTTTAAAGGCATTTATTTGTATACTCTACTAAAATGCAACAAAAAAGGGTTTGATTCTATTAATTTTGTAGATAATCTTTTTTTATTGCACTTTGGCAGCAGATTCCTGTGTAGCTTCAGATCTGAGTTGTCTTATTAGTAAGCCTAATTTATACTTTTGTAGCAACCCTATTTTTATATAATGGCAAAGAAAGGGTTCAGAGTATTTTCTTTTTGTCCAGTGTCATATGTGGCAGCACTGTTCAATGTTTCTTGAAAACATTACCCACTGTAGTATGTGACGTGTGAATAAACTCCAACTCTGTATCAACAACACTGTTGTGTAACTTCAGTTAAATACTTGTATGTGTGTAGATTAGAAAGAGGTAAGATAAAGGATCTGCAGGATTTTATGAAGTATTAATTGTACAAAGGTCAGTTTTATACAAGTAGAAGTGTGTATTTATACCTGGTAGTAGGGTGTCAGTAACTACGCCTCTCTATTTGGACTGGTAGATCTCGGCAGACTGGCAACTTTAAAAGTAGCTCTCGGTTCAAAAAAGGTTGGGCACCCCTGCTGATCATTTAGAACTGCCTGGGGGGGCTTTATGGAAATCAATACCATTCATATTTCCGTTGCTGTTATGCTTGCATGTTGCCTATCCTTTAACTAATTTATTTTTATAACACATTATCAGTGACAAACTGACATAGGCCTACAGCAAACACGGGATGGTTAAAGTCCTATTTTTCATACTGATGGCATAAAACACAATACAATATTTACAGTGTAAGAGGTTTATTGCCAATTTGTGCAAATAACTCAGATACCTTCAGAAACTATCCATTTCTCACCTGAATAAAAACAGTTGTGTTAAGGTGAAGAGTCTCCACTCGCTCTGACAAGCGATTCAGCCGCTCCAGATGGTCAGCGATAGACTCGGTGAGATTACTGTTGCACTGTATAAGAAGAAAATAATGTTAAAATAAAACAAGCTCAAGGAAAACCAGTTTGGTCTAAACAAAAGCATCTTAAAAATTGATTTGATATGCTGAACATACAAGTTCAATACAAGACCAGTTTTCTTTCAGTTCAACAGCAGACTAGCGAACATGCTCCAGTTTGTCCTTCTGCTCTTCCAACCGGTCGTCAAACTCCTGCATCATCATCAGGCCTTCATCGGGCCTGACGCCGCCCTTCGACGCCATCCTGGGTCACAGAAACACACCGGTTATTCAAAGAAAACTGAAACATACTGTCTGTGCTGAGACGCCTATTAAAATGATGATAGAAGATGTATGGAAAGACACATACATTCATTTGACAAACACACACAATCCAGCTATATGCAAGGTCCTGCATTCAAAATGTTACTCAAGTAAAAGTACAAAAGTATTGGCTTCAAAATATACTTATGCAGATTGGTCCATTGAAGAATAATATATATGTATTGATTATAATTATTGATGCATTAGTGTCAGATAAAAGTGTTTATCAAAGCTGGTAAAGGTGCAGCAAGTTTTAAATACTTTGTATAGGCCTGCTGAATCTTGTGAAACTAAATTCTTATTTAAGTGTTGATTATATTTCACATTATTATTTCACCAAGTCTGTAAAGTAACTAAAGTAAAAGTAGGCTACACCATTTACCTCTGATTTGTAGTGGAGTAGAAGAAGAAAAAAATTGAAATACATGCTGGTATCTCAAAATTGTACTTAAGTACATTTGAGTAAATGTATTTACTTTCAACAACTGTTGAGACGTTATAACGGGATTTGTGTAACACTGTATAATAGTGAAGTTATTGGGTGCTGTTGCAGTCTACAACACAATAAATATTCACCAAAATTATGCAAAAGATAATTATACACAATAAATTATCACCAAATAAATGTGAAGTTATTTTAATAGCACTTTTTTGGCGGTGCCCTTTGAAGACGGTCCCTGCACACTTGTCTCTCCTCCGGCTGCAGATAGAGACCAATGTATCCAGCTCGAAGAACGGTTTTGGCTATTTGTAATCAGAATTACTTTGTAGTTTGTGTTACAACAGATGTTCAGAGACGTTTGTGTAATTTAAGCGATTTGTTCTCGAGTCAAGTTGGATATCTTTCTTACTTTAGCAAACTCAAAGAAACTGCGGCAGGGGGGTGGACAGTGGACACAGTTAAAAACATAAGTGAAGTTACCTTGTTGAATCACAGAAAATGCTCGGAGCCTGTCCCAACGCCAATAAATCCCGTGGAACAGAACAAGGCTTCCTCCTCCTGCTGCTAAGGAAGAAAACAGTCTTTGTCCAGACAGGTTTCTTCCGTCCTGCAGACATTTCGGGAATTTCTGACGTCACGTTTTTGTTTTTGATGAGTTACCGCAACCGCATCAATACAAATATCACTTTATTTGTAGTATTATCACTCAATTTTATAGTGGATTAAACTCATTTAGTAGTGGCTCATTACGTTTATTTTATTCCTGGACTGGCCTTTTTATTTCCCCCCCCCAAATGGCAGCAACAGATTAAGCTTTGAAATGGACAAGTAATGGTTTCATGGCATAACGATGCAAGCATAAACTGTCTAAGAAAACAAAATGTTTTAATAAATAAAAAATATTGTAATGTAAAGGATGGGGTCCAGATTAATTGTAGCCACTGGGAGACATTGACGCAGGTGCCTGGAGGAAAATGTTTTTTCTTCAGTGATAAATGATAAAAAACAACATTTGTACGGTCAGTGTTTTTCAGGAATGTGCTGGACACAGCCTAAAATCATTTTCCCATTTGATGCATGATTTTAATATGACAAAGTGAGAATACAGAATCAACAGTACATTTAAGAAATCACAACTGCTTTATTTCTTCTTCTTTCAATAAGTTCTTTTTTAACGAGGGAGAGTAATGACCAAGTATCTGAAAGGAAAAAGTTCAGGTAGGATAAATAAAATGCTGGATCAGCTGTAGAAAGCACTGGTCCTTTGACAAAAGGAAATATATGCATCTTAAAAGTACAACAAAAAAAAGGTTCAGGGCAACATATTGGCGCGGGTACAATGATGAGAAGCATCAAGATCTTTTGCAGTAAGGGATAAGAAGCAAAAACACTCCAAGCCAGATAAACCTATCAACAAGTGAAATCAGTCCATTCTGAACACAGTGACCTTTATCAACGTTAAATCATTTATAGTGTCACAATATCTAAAATGAAATGTGGGTTTATGACTCCCCTCGCTGACAAGGCTCAACTGTACAGATAAGAATGCATATACATACATACCAGTGAAACACTGTCAAAGATAAATTGCAACATTTTGTAGTGTTGTGGAGCGTTATGGTAAGCAGTAACATTTAACCAGTAATGACATTGGCATTGTGAGTTTCAAAATGAGTGTCCATTACAAAAAGAACAAGATAAATGATTCCAACAGCTTCACATTTTCAAATAGAACAACACTTTAAAAGTCCTTCGTAGGCCACTGGAACGGCAGTGTTCACAAAAAAAGCTTAAGCAAATATCTCATTTTAATTCAACAAGCGATGTTATACGCCCCTCATTTGTGATCATTAGCTTCTAACAGAAGAAAATGTGTTATTTGGACCCCGATTGTGATTATAGTTAGGCTGCATTTATTGCTAGTGCCACCTCAGAGACCAGATGCTGTATATAATCAAATGGTGATGAAAATGTATTCATAAATCCCCACATCAGTGTGAAGTGGGATTTTAATGGAATTAGAGATTAAAGTCTTTTAAGAGCCTTTATAAAGAAGAAAGCTAAACGCCCCAGACTGAGGGATGTAAAAATCATCACTTTGTGAAATGTTGCTCTGTTCTAAGAACAAGTCCCGCAAGTTTACACGTTCAGCACATCACATGCACACGCTGTATCAAAGCCAGTGAAGTTCCCATGGAAGCAACATGATTTTAAAACTTCCACCTTTTAGTTTCAATTTACATACAGAAGAGAGCGACAGAATGTAAAAGCAAAGAACAGAGTTTTGAGAAAAGAAATTATTTCTACCAATCTAAGCAGTTTCACCAAAGTTCATGTGTAGGGTGAGGAACCCCAGAAGATGCATTTCTAGGGTGATGCACTTACGCTTTTGCCATGGTGACATGCAATGATCTCCACGAATTGGAGATTTTTTTTTTTCGGGGTTTAAAAAAACAAGTCCTTTACCAAAGCAGGAATGAACATTATTTTAACCAGCAAAAACGCCAATGAAAAATGACAAAAAGTGCCCCACTGCATTTCAAATTTGCTTAAAAATGTGAACAGACATTGCTTCTCATAGTGAGTTGTATCAAGTGTCTGCCTGGTCTTAACGGTTACAGTCCATAAAGAGGGAGTAAATACAGTTTGGCAAAAATGGTATGAAAAAAGGGGCTCTCTTTCTGAGTCGGCCATTTTTGTTTTTCACACCTTGAAGAGAAACACAAAAAAACAGAAATATCTTTTCTCTTTACCAATCTCCCCTTAAAAGTGACTAATAATAAATTATGAGGACCTTGAAGAGATCTGCTTAAAAGACTGTGTGTGTCTATGTATATATATTTATATATATTTATATATCTCTATACGTTGTGTGAAATAAGTGTCCAGTTCTGACAGTTCAAGAGGGGAATTATGATGTCTGCATGTATACCCCCTGCCATGGTGCCTCGGGATAGGGTGGGTCATAAGAGGCTCTGGCGATGTCGAGGGGCTTGTGTTGGCAGGCTGAGCGCTGATGAGGATTCTAAGGTCCATTGTTATGCCTTGCTCTCCTCTACTTTAACAGCCTGGGGTTTGATGGCTCCAGTGCGTGCTGGTTTGGCTTGCCCCGTGGGGAGGAGGGGCTCCTGGAGTTTGCTGGTCATTCCCCCAGATGGGGTCTTGCCCTCACCCACTGCCTTACGCACTTCTCGCATGGTTTTATTCTGCACAAAGAAAGGGCAGAGTTACCTACAGAGACCTACAGCAGTGCTGGAAAACTATACATGTGTGCATGCAACAACACTTGTTTGATAGCTCCAGGCTTATATTAATTAGCTAGAACTCCAGATGCTCAACAGGCATTAGATGAGTTTCTTTCCATGTTAGCTGTTACTATGCCAATGCATGGTTTGTCTCAAAGTATTGTTGGCTTCTAGTTTTTCATTGGATCAGTTTAACAGTGTCATGAGGCATATTTCTACCTAAAATACCATCTATTGCTCAAGTACCATGAACACATCAAACTATAAAGAGATACTTTTTAATACCCAATATCACACATTTAACTCAGGGAGCTATACAATCTGTAAGACATTAGAAACTTCTCATTTGTAAAATGCATTATTCTTACATTCATCAGCTAGAGATTATCCAAAAATGACATCATTATTAACAGTGTAGAATGATACTATCCCAGATCATTGTAAGAGCACAACCAATGTATCCTATCAAACCTCTCAGATACGTTAAATATAAATCTACCATTAATGTCAAAGTCACACACCAAGAAAATACACAACACACATAATGCAAATAGAGAAAAAGAAAATTGAAAAAAATTAAATTACCTATATTTACAGTGGGTGGCTCACCTTCATGCCATCCTCTGGCCCTTTCATTTGGGGCTCAGGGATCAAGGGAGGGGTGGAATGGGAGTGGTCACGGCCAGGGTTGGGGTAAGGGGGGGGGGCGGATGAGGACAGGTTTATTGACCTGCATGACTGGTCTCTGTATGGGGTTGGGGAAAGGGCCAGTGGTGGGGGGCCGCATGTGCATCACCATGTTGCCCTGAGCAGTTGGGACCTATTGGTCCATGGAGAGGAGGAAGGGGGGGGGGGGGGGGGGGGAATAAATGAAAACACAATTAGCATCATGTTATTGCATTTTAATTCTTAAAAATAAACCCTGGACAAAAAAGCAGCTATTAAAAGTTAAGAAATTGTAACAAGGCCTTAGGTGTTCATAAACCTCATTCAATGGCACAGGAATAATAACTGTTGTGATAACTTTAAAAGTGAAATACCTGTTGAGCAAAATGTGTAGGCAGAGGGCCCATTTGGCCCCCGGGACCAGAGGGCTTCCCACTGGGGCTGGCAGACCCAGGCCTATTGAGGAGAGGGAAGAAAATAAAAAGATAGTTTTCAAATTAATTTACTTAAATGTGCATTACTGATACTCGTAGAAAGAGCAAACATTTGTTTTTTTCCCAGACCGCTACATTCTATTATTTGCACAGATCATTCCTGCTCACCTGTAGGAGCCTCCGGACATGCCTTGGGAATGATTGGGCTTCTCAGCGAACTGGAAGCCTTTCATTTCCATCTGTGATCCCTGAGAGTAAGGGAACGAGAACGACAACTGTTATTGCACAAAAACAGTCATGGTTCCTTATGATGGATCAATATAGTTTGCTCGAGTGACAAAAGGTCAGTAGGTCACACCTCTCTGTTGCCAGTCATCACTGTAGGCTGGGAGCCGGGGGGCATCATTCGGCGCGGGCCCCCCACAGACAGGTTCTGTCCCTGCTGCAGCTGGATGGACTGGGGGAGGATGAGATGCTGCTGAGCGGAGCCATAGCGCAGCTGAGAGCCAGGCAGGGGCATGGTCACCTGGTGAAGACAAGATGTGTACTGTTAATATTGTTGTTATTTAAAGAAACAGTACAAATGTAGTCTAATTATGCTATGCAGGCTAGTATTCTCTACGTTTTTATATACATACATTTTGAAAACTGACAAGCATCAATAAGAATGCAGTATCTGAGCTGTAGTGTAACTGAGCTTCAGCAGTCCACTGACCTGGATGAGCTGAGAGTCCATGAGCTGGGAAGACCCCATACCAGGCCCCTGGTTCATCTGGTTCTCATAAACCAGCTGCTGGCTGCCGTTCATAGGCTGGTAGTGTGAGCCTGACTGCGTCTTCACCATGTCTGAGGGCTGCATGCCAGGGAAAGCAGAGTAGGGCCCCTTCAGACCCCCGCCCGACAGCACCATGGGGCTGGGCTGGGACAGGTTGGGGTGCATGTAGACCTGGGACCTGAGAGGAGGAGGAAGCATCGTATAGTGAGTGACAGAATAACATATTAGACTACAGGGTGTTGCCAGACTCATGGAACAGGTTATTATAAGCTTATTAATGAAACCAATTTCAAATCTATGATAAACTAGGGTGGTCGTACCTGAAAGGGGGAATGGAGTTGAACATGTCTTGGGACTGAGAGACGGGGAGACCCCCCCGAAGCCCCAACTGAGCCTGAGCCTGAAGAGACGTGTGCAAAGACATTGGGATCTGCTGGGCTGCGGCCGCCTGAATGGACAAAAAAAACATAATGAGAATTCTGCTGATAGACAAACACGCCTCAGTGAGTGTGTGTGTGTGTGTGTGGATTTATCTCTGTACCTGTTGGTAGGACTGCTGCTGGGTCATGTTGGGAGGTACAAGGCGGGGCTGGCTAGGGAAAACGTGTCCGTCCAGATACAACGGGGGAATATGATTACCTACAGAGGAGATAAAAACAGGCTGTTAGTTCCCCTCATGGATAAAGCCGCCATCTATTAGAGGAAATGAAATGCAGTTTTACCTTGCATGGACATGGAAGGCGCTACTGAAGCCACAGGCATCGGAGGCATTGAAACCCCTCCAAAGGAACTGTAGCTGACCCCACTGGAGGAGCCAACGCTGCAGGGAGGCTGAACACCTGAAACACCTCCGCCCGGAGAGCCCTGCTCGGGGAGGGACTGGGAGTTCTCCCACGCCTTACGGGCCGACTCCATCTGAAGGAAAATAAAGATTACAACGTTTATATGCATGTTTGAATAACACAGTCATGTTTATTTATGTCTGTAAATAGACTTTCCTTATCTCTTATCTGCATGAAAAAATAAAGCTCTGTGTACATTCGAGTAGAGTTGAAATACCTTGAGAGTGAGGTCAGCACTGGGGAAGGAGATGGGGTTGAGGTTCATGCCTGGCTGCAGATGGTTGGAACGCAGCATTGGGATACTCTGATTAAGAGCAGTCTGTTTCAAAACAAACCAAAAATTCAGTATTAATTAGTTGCTCTGTTTTTAAGCAAGAAAAACACATCATTCTATTAAAAAAAAAATGAAGCACCGTATTACCGATTCCTGTAGTGATTGTCACATCTATCTTTAATGCATTCCACTAGTTATTTTATTCACAAAACCCCATAAAAGTACATGTGTAACCACTCACATGGGTGGTGAGTACGTCCTGAAGCTTGTTGACAGGGTTGGACACGGGCACTGGGGTGGATCCCGGTGGCAGGCTGAAATCAGAGTCTTTGGCACTGACACCAAACTCAATAGGAGGCCCAGGCAGCACAGTGTCCACATGGAGGTCCACCCCGTTGACCGGAGTGATGGGGCCGCCTTCCAGCCGATCGACACCTTCTGATCCCTTGCGGTGCTTCAGGGAGCGCTCGTTTCCAATGGGCCCGGGCTTGTGCTGTTCTTTGTTCTGCTCGGGGCCAGCATCAGAGTCCTGGGAAAGAAGAACAGGGAATAATTGGTATGTTTCTCAATGTTATTCAGTAGCGCCAATTTGTTATTCAATAATAAGGAAGAAAACACATTGAAATTAGTGTTCAAATTATATTTTTTAACTGCAGGAAAGAAAGGGCACACTACCTCAGAGTTGGGCTCGCTCCCAGTGTAAGACACCTGTTTAGTCCATGAGTCTCCACCTGAAGACTGTACTGAAAGAGCTACAAAATAGAAATGAATGACATTAGTGAAAATTAGTCCCTTCCCACACAATATCCATTCAAGAGAAAGCCTTATGAACATTTGATAATTGTTCATTAGCAGAAAAAGTGTGACATTTGAACTATGAATGCACATTTCAATATACAGCAGAGACAAAATATCCAGAACAAAGCATTGGCACAAAGTTGCAGCTGTCAACTACCTGAGCTGTTGGTCTCCCAGATCTCAGTTCCGAGGTTGTTGGAAGAAAGCGTTTCCTCAGGTTGTTCAAGTCCCAGGCTGCCCTGCTTTTTGGCAAAGCGTGGAGGTATCTTGGAAGCGATTGTCCTGTTCTTCACCGGCACCTAAAAACAAAAAAAAGGAGAAAAACTTAATAAACTACAAATTGAATGCTCTTTGATGGCATAACTCTTGTTAACTTACAGCAGCTGCCTGTTCCTTCCTCCTTCTATCATCTTCCTGCGGACGTCTTTGTTTTTTTGACAAGGCATCCTGGTATCCATCTGAATTTGTCATTTGGCCCCCAGAATCGCTCTCAACTACAAACAGACAGGCACAAATGATTTGCAAATAGGTATAAACTAGTGTAATTCACCATTTCTGTGTTTCGAGTCAGTTTTCTTTATAGCTTAAATCAGATCAGAATCTACCTTAAAACTGTAGTACTACCAAAAGTCTATTTTTTTCATAGTAACAGGGTTATCACTTAAAGGTGGGGTAGGTAAGTTTCAGAAACCGGCTCGAGATACACTTTTTGTTATATTCCATGGAATGCTCTTAACATCCCGATAGCAATGAATATCTTAAGTGCTTTGACAAAAAATCCATAAAAAAATGTCATCTGTGGAAGCCGTAATACTGTAAAAAGCACGACCAATCCGATTAGCCGGGTCGGCTAAACGGATTGGATTGCCGCCCTGTCTGTCAGCCTTCCATCTCGTGCACGCACAAATGTATCTCGTGCCCTCATTGGGCGTGCCGTAATTGGGCGTGCATTGCGCGTTCATGTGTGTTGGAGGAGGTGCTCTGTAAGGAAGTCTGAAGGGAGGGGCGGATTCTTTTCGGCTGTGTACTTTCAAATTTTAGTGCACTCGAGCCGGTTTCTGAAACTTACCTACCCCACCTTTAAGAACATTTCATTTCTATTAACAGCACACAAAAAGTTACATTTCAAAAACTGGTCTCACCTTGGTAGCTGCTGAGCTCATACTGGGAGAGAGATTCGACAATGTCTGTTTTGATCGGTCCTTGCTTCAGCTCCTTGGAGCCTGATGGCTCCATGGGCTCCCTCTCGTCTGGCTGCTCTATGCTGTAGACCGACTCATCTGGGCTCCTGCTGAAAAACAGGAAAAGGGAGAGACAAAGAGTTTTTAATTGGGTATTCTGCTATTATAAAATACACTCGAATACATTGGCAAAAAACAAATGAAGCGTAGTTTTAACTTTGGCAGTTAAAACAAGATATCAAATATAGATCTTCAAGGAAGCCAATTACATTCAGAAAAGAGAAAAATACAGACTGCAGAAGACAGGAGGAAAAACAAATGGAAGAAAAAGGATGACACAAGATTCAAGCTCAGGAGGGATGCTGTGCAATATCTACGGTATTAGTAGCCAATCCTCCTGTCAGGCGCGGGTCTTTCCAACATTCATCTAGATGATGAAACTGAGCTACATCCTCATATGGGACAATCTGTACCCCATGCTTTGTTCAATAGGAGGGAAAGTAGCACACATATGGGTACAGGACAAGGACAATTACTTCAACTTGAAGTTTTTTCCTCACCTCTTACAAGAACTCCCTCCGTTCTGCCAACTGTCATTCCTGTTGGAGGAGGTGGGGGGATTATCAGATGCACGAACCATCTTGCTTGCTTCCAGCAGTGATGGCTCTCCTTTCCTGTTCTGCCGCTCCACCAGTGGTCTCTGGCTGGAGAAGCTTCTCTTGCAAAGTTCCCTCTTTTCTCCAGAGCCTAGTTCACCGTGGCCCGAGTCTGAGGGAATATCACCGTGTCCTTGTGTAGGAGCGTGTCCTTGTGTAGGAGCGCCCCCAGCTCCGCCTCGCTTCTCTCTCCAGTCCCCAATGTCGCTGTTTTCTGATCCCGTCTCCCATTCCTCTGTCTGACCGTGCTGGACGGGGCGTGCACCAGAGTATTGGCCACTGGGCCAGTTTTCTTCCCCACTGCCTTTGGGGCGATTAGGCCAGGGGTTTGAAAGCTCTCCATTGACGTACTCATCACTTGTCCACTGGTTTGAGCCGGGTTCGCGTTCCTGTTGTAGACGACGGAAGCGTGGAGGCTTGTCTTGACGGGGTGGACGACGTCTTCTTAACATCTGCCTGTCAGGGTTTTCATTGTCAAAATAGTATTCTCCTTCACGCTCCTCTGTGCCATTTTCCATGAAGGAGCCAGTGAGTTTAGGAGGGTACTTCAGAGTCTCACGGTCAACAGGGGGTCTGCGGGAGTAAGCCGTCTCAGCTCCAGGACCATAACCATTTTCTTGCATGGGGCCACCAGTGCTGTTAAACTGGGGCCCACGGCCCCTCCATGTAGACATTTCCCTTGGTCCTCCGAAGCCTCGACTGTAACCTCCAGTGGTGTTCAGTCTGGGAGGCAGCGTGCGACCTCCAAAGCCCCTGCTGGCCTTGGCCTTGTCTCTGGAATCTATGGCAGCCTGTTCATCTGTGTAGATTTTGTTGGATCTCCAAGAGTCTCGATCAGCCTTTCGGACTTCTCCAGACTCTGTGTAACCTTCTCCAGACTCTGTGTAACCTTCTCCATTTTCAGATCCCTTCTCGCAGCGCCTCTTGGGAAGCTCCTCATACTCAGAGGTTTCGCTCAAGGTCTCACTTACATTTCTCCTGCGGGGCTTCCCCCTCTGGAACTCCTCCACCTTGACCATGTCCCTAGGTGTTGCTCTTCCTCTGCCGGTGCGCTGGGCACCGCCGCTGCTGTTGTTATTGCTGTTATAGGCCCCTCTGAGATTGTCTCCGCCTCGGCCACCACGGCTTCCACCTCTCAAGTTAAATTCCCTAAAGCCTCGACTGCGGCCCCGCCCTGTTCCCCTGACTGCCCCAAAGGCCTGTTCTTCATCGATGAAGATCCAGTTATTTCTCCGTGGTGCCTGGGAGTCCTGGCTGACATCTTTAGGTGACTGGCTCTTGCCACTGTCCCAGGGGCTCTCCTTGGGAGAGTCATCACTGTGTGTGCTCAGAGGTCTTTCTGTTTTGATGGGAGCTGGTGACTGACGGTGCCTCTCTTCTGGCTGTTTCTCAACATCCGGTGAGGCTGAGCGCCTGTTGATGGCAGGCTGGTTGTCTTTCTTTAAGTCGTAGACATTGGTAAGGACTTCTTTTTCCAGGCGGTAGGGGACAGGTCTTTCCTCAGGCTCAGGTTTAGGCTTCTCATTCTCCTTTTCTTCCACTTTGAGAGCCTTTAGTACTGGTTTCTTGATGGGCCCAGTTCTGCGAGTCAAGGTGCGCCCGCTGGTTTCAGACGGCTGGCTTACACTACTACTGGAAGCAGATTCGGACCACTGGCTTTTTGCACTGTTGAGTCCTCCGTCTTGTTTCTGACCTCCATCTCTTTTCCAGTTGTCCATGGAGCCCTCTAAGGTCTCATCATGAGATTCAGAGCCGTCTTTGAGGTGCTTCTCCCTTGAGTCTTGTTGTTGGTAATCACCATCTGCATGATTTAAGGTGTGGTTCTTTGCCGTGGTCAGCAAGCCTTGGTCCTGGTGTTCTCTTTCGGGGCCTCGGCTCGTGTAAGCATGATGAGGGATATCATCTTGGGGGTGGGACAAGCCCTCATTGGCCCTCTCTTCATAAGAGTCTTGTTGGGTGCCGCCCATATCAATTCTGCGGAAAAAAAAGAAGATACAAAAAAATAGAAAGAATGGCAACAAACAGAGGCCCACCAAGAGGGGCCTTGTGCACAATTCAGGGTTTTAGGTAGAAATAGAGCTGAGTCAGGTTTGAGGGATTTTAATCACAATACAAAAGATCAACAGGCTCTCATTTTAACAACAGTAACGTACCTGTCATCTGGCTGGCCACTTTCTGAGCTATCATGCTGTCTCTGGTAAGGTGGAGTGAAGCTGCGCAAGGGGTAGCCATCTTGGTTCCACATGGGGTAAGGCTCAGTGGAAGGGGCTCTTCTCTCTTGGTGCAGGTTAGGATGGCATCCCTCATCAGATCCAGGGCTGTTCAGGTGGTCTTGGTGCATCATTGGTTTCATCATTCCTGCTGAAAACAAATGAGTGTTAAACATTTTGTCACATCTAATGTCATTGGACATTAGATGTGACAGGTGCACTCATTTAATCGAGTTAGTGCTAACCTGAAGAGTGAACAGCACCGGGGTAGTAGTCCACAGGAGATCGTCCTTGGGTCATGCGGGGATCCATGAAAGGCGGCATCATCATCCAGCGGGGATCGAACCCGAGGACGTGCGGGGGGTAGTAACCCCGCTGGCTGTGGCTCGAGCCAGAAGGTGCAGGGTGACCGGACTGCTGCCAGTGCTGCATCTTGTATACTTGTTCCTGTAGATTGTTTACAGGGAATACACGTTTAAGAAATGGTGGACCTAATCCACAGTCCTTGCTCTCTGTGAAAATAACTTTCAGCTGAAGAAAATATGGGAGTCAAGGGGTCAGTCTTCTTAGTTTAAATTCAATGTTTTAACATGCATTGGAGCCATTTCATTTAATTTCACATTCACCTTATAACAAAGAAGAGGTTTAAGCAACTCAGCAAGGAATTATAACTTACACCATGGACGAAAAATAGATTTTTTTGTGACTAATTTGAACTTCAATGTTTCACTCCTCATGCATCATCACAGTAATTGTTATCCGAGAAAGGAATAAATGACCATAGAGTGGGGTAATCATCCTTTTACACAGCAAAAATGTGGACTCGGAAGAAAGGGCAATTTGACAGTAAGCCAAAGCAGTGGGATTTATTATTCACTTCACAAATTATAACTGCGAGATAGCCAAATGCCATTAGCTCAGAAATAATTAACAATAGCCTAATCAAATAGGTTTACACACTTCACAAGGCTGTTGAATGAAGGCCTAAACCTTGAAAAGAGAACCTGCTACCGTGAACTCTAAAATACCTCTACTCACACGCAGCCACTAAGACATTGACGCATACATCTGGGATTAAGACTTTATGGGTTAAGTGGAATCAGATGGCGCTCACCTGCTGCTGCTGATGGTGCTGAGGCGGCAGAGGCTGCTGCTTTTGAAAGCGAGGTGGGATGGGTTTGGAGGGTTGACGTCCGCTGTAATCTCCTGAGGAGGGGGAGGTGGGCTCCTGAACATCATCCTCACTGACACGATAGTTAGAGAGGGCAGGTTCATCGCGGTAACTCTGGACAGGAGAGTTGTCTTGGGGAACCTCGCTTCCCTCTGGAAATCGGGTGATGACCACAAAGTTATAATCATCCGATACATTTGATATACAACATGCAAGCCTAAAAGTAAAAGTCTACTTGAAATAATGCGTTACCTTTTGTGCTGTACTGCCAGGTATCATGGTGGCTTTTACTCTGTTCCCTTTCTGGGGATAATGGCACTTCTTTGCCCTCTCCCTCTTTCTGGCCCTCCTCTGTCCGTGATGTCTGCCTTTCAATTTTCCCAAACTTCTCATCCAGCCTTTTCAGTTTTTCAGCGCAGGCGGCCAGTCGTTCCTCACGGGCACGCTTCTCTTCCTCCTCCCGACGTTTGCGTGCCCTCTCAACAGCCTCCGACAGCTCAGGTGACACGTACTTGGCCCTTGCTGGAGCCTGGGGGTGGCGCTGGGCATCGTCCTGGTCAGCCAGGGGCTCACCTTGGATTTTCTTCTGGGCCTAGAGATGAAACGGGGGCAGTTTAAGGGGGAGGTATATATATATATATTCCGGTTAGTTCAATCATTTTAAGCTTTTAGGAAAAGTGTAAATAAGATGTTACATTTCCTCTATTTATTGAAACATGGTTGAATTGGAGATGATAAGAAACTAATGTCAGGCCAGATCCATACTTAAAGGTTAAAAATACACCTTAGATCTAAAGGCCATTAGGAAACCCTAAATTGCATTGTCTGCTAAGGCCATCTGCTTGAAATGAAAACTCAAAAGCCTCAAAGACTTGTTTAGTTAAAGACAAATATTAAATATGCAGGCATCTATATTTGTAGATTATTTGAGGGAATTCACCTGACAGGTAGAATCCGTATTTCTATTTTGCCCGTCATGTCGTTTTTAGTTGCCAACCAAAAGGCATGGCAATTTAAAAGTAGTCAGGACGATATCTCTATGGTTACTGGAAGGTCATCTCTGCCAATTCATGACAATGTTATTCGAGTGTGTGTGTGTGAAGGCACACCGCTATTCATATGCTCTGTTTTGTTACCTTCCCTCCACAGTCACAAAGGGATAAAAGAACAAGATGCTGTGGTAAAGTAAGGAGTACATCTTAGATAAGTCATCTCAGAGGAGGGGGGGGGAGAAGTGGAAAAACACAGCATAGGTTATGCAGTGTGTTGTTACCGGGACGTCCGTGGGGAGATATCTGCCGTTGGTCTTTCTGGGAGGCTCGAGGTGGTGATGTTGGTAGGAATAGCTCTCCTCTGGGCCCTCCTGGGGATAAGCCACCTCGCCTGAACTAAGAGAGTCACGCTGCAGCTCTCTCTCCCTCTCCCATTCAGTCCTACTAAGTAAAAGATCTAAATTAAACCAGGAGTCCTTTAAATTATGGCAAAAGAAGAATGTTAACTTTTTAAGGAAAGAAATCTCACCGCATCCTGCTTTTTTCACCGGTGTGGTCTTCTTCGTCATCACTGAACTTAAGCTTCTCACCATAATCAACTTCTTCGTGAAGTCCTGTAAAGATAACAAGACAACAGTCAGCAGCAGTTACGTATGATGGGATATAGAGCAACAACAGGTTGTGGTATCCGTCATAAAAGAAGAATCTAGCTCTGTCCTGAGCATTTACGCCAAAACACAACATACTTGTCTACAGGGTTCATACACTTTTTCACCAATGACTTTTCCATGACTTCTCAATGACATTTACCTCATTTTCCATGACCAAAAAAAAACTGAAAATGGCTAGCTTCTACACGCTAAAGCAACTGTAGTCAGGGATGCAAACTCATCAGGTATGAAAAAGGTGACAAGGACCCGAGCTCCCCGACCCCACGGAATATCGGCTTTAAAATGAGGAATAACAGGATGTTAGCAGTCAGAACAACTAAAGCAGCAGTTAATAATAACAGAAACGCCAAAGAGTCACATCTAATACAAATATATAAAAGCATTTATTTTAATTGTGTAGCAGTCAGTTTATCATTCTGGCAGCACTGTTGAGCATTTTGAAAATGTATTTTCATGCCTCTGTGCAAGGCTTAGTCTTTCTATCTGTATAGCCACTGGTGTAACTAAGTTCATAAACTCAACAAGTACTATACGGGGGTACAGTTTTGAGATACTTGTACTTTATTAAGTATTTCAATGTTTTGCTACTTTGTACTTCTACTCCACTACAGTTCAGAGGTACATGGTGTACTTCAACTACTCTACAGTTCAGCGGTACATGGTGTACTTCGACTCCACTACAGTTCAGAGGTACATGGTGTACTTCGACTCCACTACAGTTCAGAGGTACATGGTGTACTTCGACTCCACTACAGTTCATTGTTTTATCGTGCTTTTATCGAGTCAATTCTGTCTTTTTCACTAATGTCATGGTTTGGTAACCTGACTTTAAAGAGCAGAAACTCTCTGAGTCAGATCATAAAGTGGTCCAGCAGACTGATTGGTGAGCCACAGCTAAACCTGGAGACCCTGTACCTCAGGCAGTTACAGCGGTTATCCAGCTCCATATTAGACGATGACTCCCACCCTCTGCACTCAGAATTCAAGCTTCTTCATTCGGGCCGGAGGTTACTTGTCCCAAGGAGTAAAACGAAGTGGTATAAAAACAGTGTTATCCCAGCAGCTATTGCACAAATTAACACATCATAGGAGCGTCACACAGATGCCTATTTTTATTTATTTATTTAATTGTGAATTTTGAATGTCCAAGTTTGTACTAGTGTTTTCCTTCTTAAAATGTTTTTTAAATATTTTGAGATTTGGTTGAGCAGGGTATACTTGTACTTTTACTAGTCCTTTATTAGAGATGTGTCTGTTGTTTGTATTTGTTTTTAGTGTCAGGATGGAACCCTTGTCTTTTTCTCTGCAAACAGAATCTACCTACAGGTACAAATAAATAACCTGAACCTGAAGGTACATGGTGTACTTCTACTCACTACAGTTCAGAGGTACTTAGTGTACTTCGACTCCACTACAGTTCACAGGTACATGGTGTACTTCGACTCCTCTACAGTTCAGAGGTACATGGTGTACTTTTCCTCCACTACATGTATTTAATACCTTTAGTTACTTCACAGATGTGGATGAATGATGTGAAATATAACCAAGTGTTAAATCAGACTTTAGTTCCACCTGGAGTAAATCCACAAGCTACCCTGCAGTATACAAAGTCATTCAAACTAGCTGCACCTTTACCAGCTTTGAGAACACTTTCATGATCAATCATTATAAAACATATCATATATATTATTCTGAAATGGACCAATCTGCACAACGACTACTTTTACTGTCGCTACTTTCACTATATTTTGATGAGAATACTTTTCTACTTTGACTTGAGGAACATTTTGAATGCAGGACTTTTACTGTGACAGAGTATTCCTACACTCTGGTACTTCTACTTTTACTAAGTACAAGATCATCCGAGTACTTATAATTTCACTACAAGATCTGAGTACTTGTACTTTTACTCAAGTACAAGATCTGAGTACTTATTCCACCTCTGGTAGCGTATTAGTCTGAATTGTAGCCACAAAATCACGCAGAGCTGCATAGAAATAGACTCACAATGGTAACAAGTGGAATATAATATTTACAAATGTGTACAATGATCATAGGCGGCGCGTGAGGCTCAGGTTTGGGAAGGCTAAATAACTTTTTTTACCTGACGCTGCCCGCCTCCGGCGTGTATAGAAAATAGATCAACTCAGTGACCAATCAGAGCTCAGTGTGCGGAGTTTAAATCTATCACGTCATATTACAGGATAAAGGAAATACAGTTTAAACTGCCGTATGCAGAGGAGACGCCGACGTGTCGCACTTATCGTTCATATCATATCACATCATCAATCAGATCATCGATCATATAATATATATTTCCTTATCTGAGTCAGCTGAGCCGTATCTGGCCGTGCAACACTTACAGTGTCACATACTGTATGCAGAAGTATTATTTTAAGCAACACATTAGGTTGACGAAACACTCAACTCAAATGTAATTAAAGTCAGATCCACTCGTGTCTATGGGGCAGTGATATCATAAAACTGTTGTACGCTTTCAAACGCTCGGTAGTTTATTTTATCTATATTCACCTTGCAGGTGCAACTATGTGGCTTGTATCCTGGATTATATGTTTAAGTCATGGAAGGTTAAAGCTCATATTTGTCTAATATTAGTTTACTTTTCATTAATGAAGTATGACGCTGCGCTGTCAGTACACTTGTCCCTGTTTGTGATTGGTCCAATGTAGCTAACCCCGCCCCTTTCACATGAATGCGCACTCAGCTGGAGAGAGAATCCCTGGCTTAATTTACAGAGTTGATAACCAGCGTTGTAGGACCGCTTAGCGAGATCTCGTTTGTTAGGGTTAGTTAAGATAACTCGAACATATCCAGGGTCTGTTGAACTGGCTTCGTAGTACAGTTTACTGGTGGCTGCATAGCAGCGCTAATGTCAAAGACACAAACATTATATTTTTATTTTACCAGGATGCAGTGACAAACATATTTGGGAAGGCTTAGTCTTCCCTAGCCTACAGTACCCGCCGCCCCTGACAATGATTTGTAGGTAATTTTGACTACTCAAGACACCTGACTTATACATGTTCAAAGGAAGACTGTGTTCATTCTACAATTACATGGGATTAAAGCAAAATGTAGTTTTACTTGTATAAATGTAAAGAAATGTGTCTTCGGGTCAATGTGACTGATTTCGATAGATCAAGTCACATTTGGTTTAGGTACGAAACATACTACCAGTAGAAATACATTGCTTTCAAAATCGCTCTGTGTCGAATCAATAAATTATATTTCGTGACTATAACACGAAATGCCGTGAGTGCTTCATCCTCTGAAGACCACAGGATGGCGAATGTAACGCACAGAACATAGGTACGCTCCTCTGAAATGATTGTCCCCTGCAATTATTATTATCCCTCAATCGAGTTCGCTATTCAGCTTGCTAACGTTAGCTTAAACAAACATAACATGCAACGTTAGCCTAATCTAAAATGCTCTACTACGGCGTACCTTTCATGTGGCTCGTCAGCGCAAACTCTCACATCGTTATTTTTGCAAACTTTGCAGGAGGCTACTCGTGGGCTTGACCCTCGTCTTAGCCATGGCTTGTATTTGTCTTCTGCTAGCCAACGCTCGTTGAAACTGCAACCTCCTGGCACACATCTATCACTCTCATCAGAATGCCCAGGTCACACGTAACACAAACACTTGCAGGTCGCGCGCATAGCGCGGGAAGGCCGCAGCGGGGCTGTTTTATGTAAAAGAAAAGCAATTATTTTCTTTTAATCTAAAAAGCGAACTATTCAGTCAGAAAGCAATTTATTGTAAAAGTAAAGCATTTACATTTTCAAGCACTTTATCTCAATTTCAAGCACCATTCCCAAAATTCAAGCACTTTCCCAACCTTGAAAACACCACGTCAAATTTCAAGCATTTTCAAGGATTTCAAGCACCCGTACGAACCCTGAAAATAACCATTTCTCTCAAATATTGTTCACAAATCTGAAAAAATCTATGATAGTGAGCACTTCTACTTTGCCGAGATAATCCATCCCACCTCACAGGTGTGGCATATCAAGATGCTGATTAGACAGCATGATTATTGCACAGGTGTGCTAAGGCACACCTGTGCAATAATCATGCATCCCAAACATGCTCAATGGGTGACATGTCCGGTGAGTATGCTGGCCATGCAAGAACTGGGATGTTTTCAGCCTCCAGGAATTGTGTACAGATCCTTGCAACATGGGGCCGTGCATTATCATGCTGCAACATGGTCGTGGATGAATGGCACAACAATGGGCCTCAGGATCTCGTCAAGGTATCGCTGTGCATTCACAATGCCATCAATAAAATGCACCTGTGTTCGTCGTCCATAACATACGCCTGCCCATACCATAACCCCACCACCACCATGGGCCACTCAATTCACAACATTGACATCAGAAAACCGCTCACCCACACGACGCCACACACGCTGTCTGCCATCTGCCCTGAACAGTGAAAACCGGGATTCATCCGTGAAGAGAACACCTCTCCAACGTGCCAGACGCCATCGAATGTGAGCATTTGCCCACTCAAGTCGGTTACGACGACGAACCGGAGTCAGGTCGAGACCCCGATGAGGACGACGAGCATGCAGATGAGCTTCCCTGAGACGGTTTCTGACAGCTTGTGCAGAAACCCCCAATAAAGCAAAACTGCACGTTTCAGAGTGGCCTTTTATTGTGGCCAGCCTAAGGCACACCTGTGCAATAATCATGCTGTCTAATCAGCATCTTGATATGCCACACCTGTGAGGTGGGATGGATTATCTCGGCAAAGGAGAAGTGCTCACTATCACAGATTTTTTCAGATTTGTGAACAATATTTGAGAGAAATGGTTATTTTGTGTATATAGAAAATGTTTTAGATCTTTGAGTTCATCTCATGAAAAATGGGAGCAAAAACAAAAGTGTTGCATTTATATTTTTGTTCAGTGTATATTATTCTGAAATGGACCAATCTGCACAATGACTACTTTTACTGTCGCTACTTTCACTATATTTTGATGAGAATACTTTTCTACTTTTACTTGAGGAACATTTTGAATGCAGGACTTTTACTGAAATAGAGTATTCCTACACTCTGGTACTTCTACTTTTAATCAAGTACAAGATCTGAGTACTTCTACTTTTACTCAAGTACAAGATCTGAGTACTTCTACTTTTACTAAAGTACAAGATCTGAGTACTTCTACTTTTATTAAGTACAAGATCTGAGTACTTCTACTTTTACTCAAGTACAAGATCTGAGTACTTCTACTTTTACTAAAGTACAAGATCTGAGTACTTCTACTTTTACTAAAGTATAAGATCTGAGTACTTCTACTTTTAATCAAGTGCAAGATCTATACTTATACCACCTCTATGAAAAAAACTATTAGAAAACGAAGGCTAAAGCTAACGTTAGCAGATAGTGACAATGTATGCTAGCTAGCTAGCTCAACGATTCCTTAAATGATATTGCGACAGAAAAAGGTTTCAGTTCACATCACGCTCTGCCGCTCTGCTCTGAACACCTGAACGGCCCGTTCTAACAGCTGTTCACCAGCGGCTCAGTCTGTGCCACAGTGACTCCGCACAGTTAACGAACGCACCGTAGATAATGTAGCTGACCCTCATCCTGGAGCAGCAGAGTTCAGCCGACAGGCAGGAAGACTCGAGCACACAGCTCGCACTTCATATATTAAAAAATAACACCATGCGCGTCATGATGGCACATAACAGCTCGCGACCGCAGATTATTTCAGCGATTAGATTAAATGTAAATTATATTTGACGCAACTTTCGTTACATGTCCATGACTTTTCCAAAACTTTGGGAAAAATATTGTTTTCCATAACTTTTCCAGGGCCTGGAATTTGCATTTTCAATTTCCATGACTTTTCCAGGTTTTCAATGACCGTACGAACCCTGTGTCTAATAATAATAGTCATACACAATTGCTTCAGTGAATACATTTATTAAATGTAATGTGATTACCATTCTACCCATTTTCGTAGTTTTTCCAATTCCGTAACAACTTATTTGACCTCTTACAGGAGGCCGATGGAGTAAGTAACACAACTCTAAGAAGTACTGACCGGCCCATCCATCCTCGCAGTCATGGTCAAGCTCATCCAGATCCTTCAGATCGTCTGGATTAATGATGGCTGGGCGCTGCGGTCTCTCACCAGGCCTGCGGATGGGCTGAGAAGATTGACGAGGTGGAGCGCGGGCAAAGCGATTCTCTCTTCTCACATCACCACTGCAATTAGACAGAAAGACAAATTAGCAACTGCCAAACATCAAAAATGGTCTTGTTCCAGTTACCTCATGGATACAAGCTCTCACATTGTCAATGCACTTACTTGACAAGTTCAGGTTTAGGGAAGTTCTGTCTAAAGGTGGGTTTGCTCTCAAATCGGGCTGGGGCTGCAACAGTGGTGGGAACATGGTCTGTACCTGGGGCTTCACGTGTGTCTTTAGTGCACATCTGAAAACAGCAGGATGAAACAACATGTTTATAATACAGAAAACAAAGAGGGATTTGAGCTGTTTCTGGCTATATGTAACAGCTTATTTTGTACTAGAAAAAACGGTATATTGTCTTTTCAAAAGGTGTAAATGAATGATATGGTACTTACAAATGCAGGCAACATGTCGTGGTAGACAGCAGTGGAAGTGTGGTGAAGCTGGTACTGCAGGGCAGTCGGGACGGTTGTTCTGCGGAGAGGCTGGGCGGGTCGCAGCGAAAGCTCCTTGGGTTCAAGGACTGGAGACTGAGGCGTCACCACACTAGAGGAGGTTGTGCTGATGGCAGAGGGGGGGTGAGATGTGGCGGGAGGGCTGCCAGTCTCACCCAGGGCAGTGAGTTTTCCCTCAGGTTCTGCTGGCAGGCCGAGGGTCAGAGACGAGGGCTGGAGGTTCCTGCCACCACCTTCCCTCCAGCTCGTCACGTCTTCAAGTGGGGAGGGGGAGATTACAGACAGTCAAAAATCTTGCCACCAATTGATCAATCTTCCTGCCAGCAGACATTATCTTATTTATGACTGCCAGCCAATTCGAGGGTTGAGACTTACTTTGGGGGCGGAGGCTTGGTCCGGGCCCATACGACGGATCGAAGCCGCTTCTTTCCTTGCCAGCCCTGTCCTGTTCTCCAGCTGCCTTCAGCGTGGGAAATTCCTCGTGAGAGAAGGGCTGAAGGCGGTTTGAGACCCTTAAACCTGGTGTTGTCAATGAAAAAAAGTGTCATAAAAGGGAATTGGTTTGTTTGACATATGCAAAGAATAATGTAACAAATGCCATATGGGGATGACAATCAGCATGTCATTTTAATTTGAAACACAATTATAGGTCAATCTGAAATGACTCACCATCTTGCTCTACTGCCTTTCCATTTAGCTGGGCCCATTGTTTTGGTCCACCTGTGTTTCCGTTCTGTGGAAAGAAACCAGATAACATTGAATTCCTACAGTTTGTCTCTTTTACCTTTAAGACATGGAGTGAGTCTTTATTTACTGACAAAACATTGTTAAAAGTATTTTATATATTTAATGAAATCAGCACTAGAATTGCATTTGTAAGTAGGGCTCAGCAAAGATCACCTCTAGACAGCATTCCTGATGGTAAAAATCTGCAAGAATATTCCATTTTAAACACAACCATAGCTTCACATACACACCTCCTGGTTTGCTATTGGTGACGGCTTCTGAAGATTGGAGACAGATTTCTGTAAAGCCAGCTGTGGCTGCAACTCCGGCAGCTGTGGTGTCGATGCAATAGAACTACAGAGAAAGAAAAAAGAGAAAGTTTGGTTAAATAAAATGTAGTCAATTCCCTGATGAAAGGCATGAGCACACAAGAGATACAAGTCTTTACTGAAAGACTCGACCTCCAGGCAGGTGTAAATATATCAACTTTCTCAAATCATCAATCGAAGATTTGTTTCACTTTATCTGGATGCTGCCACTCAGTTAAGCTTGTTTTCTTTGAATGCCTTACAGCATTTGTCTTTATGATTGAAAGCATACACTTTAAACTACCAGCAGCAGTGCATAACAACATCATAGTTGAATACAAAATAATGATTTGTAGCAGAATGGTTGATATAATAAAGTGAGAGGGCAGTTTGCGTTGTTTAACGTTACTCTCCGTACCTCTTTTGATCGGGTTGTTCCTGCTTGTTCGCCCATCCTGTACCGTCTTTCGGCACAATAATCACGTTGGGATCGTTTCCTTTGTTTTCGGACTTCAAGCTCGGCAGGTGAGCAGGAGGGGGCATGCGCCGGGCTGCGGCCACTTTGCCAAGACTCTGCAAGCCATGTCGCGGAACTACTTGGAGAAAATACACAGCGGGGAGAAGCAAGGGGGAGAAGAGGTTAACAAAGGATTTGAAATGTGGTAACAGAGACATAAACAAAGAAATATGGTATTCAAAAGAGAAACTAAATATTTAAACGTACCTGCGTTTTTTTGAGTTTCTATTGGTTTTCCCTTGTACTTGTCAAATAGGCTGAGAGAGGAATACTTGCTTTTCCCATCCTTGGACTTGGTTATTTGCCCCAAACGATCGGACATTTCGATGTAATGTCATCTAGTATGGAAATGTTTATTTGCGCCTCTTTCCAGTGCTTTCTGATTCTACAAAGACAACAGGAGAAGAAATGTCAGTGAAGACCTTACTCAAGGAAAACAATATTTAAAAATAAGGGACGGGGATATTTATCTACGCCCTTGTGAAGTTTGGCGGTATCTAGACTGTCAAATATAATTTATTTTGATTACATTTTTGGATTCTGACATGAAAAGAACATGAAGCCAAAGATAAAACATGTTTTGAGGAAAAACTCAATCACAGAACATCTTTGCTGCAAAAAGGCAAATCGTGATTAAAGCTTTGGATTGTCTTTTTGTTATAGAAAACAAAAGAAATAAGCAACTATGGGATTTATATTTTTACAGTTGCATGTCATTATAAATAAATAAACTTTATTTATGGAAACTTCCATTGGCACTGTATTTCAGGACACCATGAAGTCACCGTTATGCCTCTGTGGCCGGCCACCGCCCATAGTTTTAGTTCGATGTGCAGCACTGATGGATTTGGTGTAATTTGTAGTGACCGAAAAGCATCATCAGATTTTTTATATTTACAGACCAACCCATTAAATAAGCAACATTTGATAACGCCAGTTCCACATTTTGAATTACGTTCACAGTTTGTAATGTGAGCCTACGAGACTATTAAATGTGATTGACTAATAACTTGAACTATGGTTTGATAGTTTGTATGGTTGTCTCAGTTATGTTTTTATATTAGAAACATTATATTTTCTCACACAGGTGCAACATGTATATTGGTGGTCAGATGGGTGCTGTGTAAAGTGTCCGCCATTGTTTCATGTGCAACGTTTAACAAAAGATGTAAGCCAATGTGAGGTGGTGCAGTCGCCCTTTGTCAATGCTAGTTCTTCCGTACATCACAGTACTTTACCACAGAGTGATCATAAGCATTTCAACTGCAACTTCAGCAACATCACAGTTGTATGGATGGACCAATCAGAGCTCAGATCACTGCTAAACATGGCTCGGAGCAGGCATCATCGCCCAAATAAAAAATACCTTCTTGTGTTGAACAAACATTATATTGAAGCAGGCCCTGACCTTTTCTTAAATTCACATTTGATTTAAATGTTTCTTTTTAAACTGTGACTTTCTCCACGTCTTTGTTTGCTGTTGAACTTAAACTTCAGACTTTGTTGTTACATATCCTGACCCGAGGGCAGAAACTGCAACATGTATAACTGGCTCAGTTTCTCGCGTAGGACTTGTGCACAATGCACATACCTACAAACAGCACTGGTGGTTTAGACATTATTCTGAATGTTCCAAAAATATTAGATTTGTTCTATGGTTTGATCACCAGCAATGCAATCATCTGAATGGCTTGTTGCCACATTGGGTAAGGGGGAAATTGGTTCATGATATTTAATATGACATGTGTAACACGATATTTAAACAAATTAAAGTATGACTGACCAACTTCTTGTTAACATAAAGCAAGCATTATAATGCCAATAATCACTCCTGACACTGATGTCACTTTTGACAACAAAAAGTACATAAAAACAAGTGTAAACAGAATTCTGCAAATTAAAATTATAAATATAACAATTGAGCTCTTATTCAGGGTGACAGGAAACCTTTTTTCCAGACACTGAATGAAATATTTGAATATCAAAAATAATGGCGGCTTTTCTGTTTTATTATATATAATCAGGCCCGGTTCCAGAACAAAATGACTCAGGGTGCATCTGAGATTAGAGAGGGTGCAGTGGTAAAGTGATATTTTTATAAGTGGGGAGTGGGCTTAACACCCTCTAGGGGGGTACTCACCTCCTCTAGGGGGGTCCGGGGGCATGCTCTCCCGGGAAGATTTTTTTTTTAATATTGAAGTTAAAAGCATCAATCTGGTGCACTTTGAGAGCAACATGAAGAGATCTATGGATTGGATACATCTCAACACCCATATGAAACAGAACTATACACAGATTTACTTTTTCTTTATGGATATTTTACAAATCACGCCCCTTTTAAGACCGAAATGTCTACATGCATAGCAGAAGATGGCATATTTTTTACAGGAATATTCCAGCCTATCTCTGTTTTGAAACCATGAGCTGCAAAATGAGCGCCTTACCCCACTGTACAGGCGAGTTGGGTACTTTTTTAAATATACCTGGGCAGGCTCTGTTTTGCCGAGGTCCTCTGGCACTTGCGGGCGAGGCGGGCAAAGCCGGCAAGTCGGGCGGGAGGACGTTAGTGTCCACGACAGTGGCCGCTAATGTCCCCATGATCTGAATTGTTATTACCTGCAGTAGATGCAGTGTTACTGCTGGCGATAAGGGCTGGTTGTTTTTAACCATTTTCTGATGTTCATTATTGACTGCCGTGTAAGCACCTTGCAGATGATGAACGCTCAGAGGAGACTCGGCACGTCACATCTGCACGCCATAGGACCCTGACCAAGCGTCGCTCCTGGACGTTCAGGGAGTGAGACTGTGTTGGCACAGGTCATGCACACCTGACATAATAACGTTACTTAGGCTACCGTTTAAATTGACCAAATAAATGCAGCAGACAATGTTATTTAACCACAATTACAATTTATTTGATTTCAACTGTATTCTTCTTCTTCTCATTACTATTATTATATATGTAATATCTTTCACTTTTTTTTTTTCTTCACTTTTAATTTTTCAAATGAGGGTGCATAACGACTCAACTGAGGGTGCAATGCACCCTTATGCACCCCCGTAGAACCGGGCCTGTATATAATCTATATCAAGTCAACTGGAATCTGCCACAATAGTCAAGTGGCTGCAAACACTTTCTAACAATAGCAGTGATTAAAGCTTCCTATTCTATAGCTTTTTATTTATCATAAACTACATGGTAAACAAAACAACAATCAAATCGAGTGATAAACGACCAAACAGATCCTTAGAGAACATTTGTTTGATGGTGAACGTTACTTGTGGATTTATATACAGTACGTGAAAAGAAGGCGACACAAAGCTTTGACACCGTGTGGTCTAAATGTTTATGCTTCGATTATATAACGTTAGACATAGCGCAAAAGCCCACAGCTGTTGTTATAATGTCTTCCTAAAATGAACAAATATTGTCGTTTCAGTCGAGTACCAGAAAATAACACACAAAGTAGGTCTCGAAGGCCGCTCGGTTAAAGCACCGCATAGGCGTTTTGCCGAGACAAATATCTCTCCACCTAGGTCGATTTAGCCCAAAAATTAAAACAAATCATGCAATTCCCTTGTAATAATTCCCGTATAATTATACAATGACCACCAAGTGAGAAATTAGCCAGCGCTAATTTTTTGATACATTAGTGGACGTTGTGTCGCAAAGGGAAGCTAACGATATGACAGCTAACATTATACAACCTTTGATTGCATTTTAAACGGTATTTCCGTCAGATAGCCAATTGAGAAAGGCACATGCTATGCGTTTAATGTTTTTTTTTAAAGATAGCAGAATAATATTTGACCAAGAGATATCGTTTTTTATTAATATTGTTTGACCTCTCTGACGTTAGTTGTAGGTGTTGTTACCTCATTGGAAGCTAATGCTAATTCAAGCACAAGAAACCGACACCATACAGTTCGCTGCACGAAAACAAAAACACAGTCTATCACAACTAATGACAAAAAAAAAGATTGTTGTCAATTTCCCCGAAAAAGAACACACCAATGCCTTTAATTGCAACGCAACAACTAAATCGTCAAAAGGACCATAACTGCAGATGCTAGCCATCACTAGTAAAATACGCTAGCTTGTGGCTCAAGTAAAAATGGCTATGTAAACATGGCCAAGGTCCCACAGAGCTGCATATATTTATATAGATAAGTGTCCAAGTTACCACGCAGAAATGACAACACAGTAAACAGTTCTTAGCACAAGCTAGCTTCAGCAGACATAGCTTGTTCGAAAACTAGCGAAACGGCAATCCCGTTTAACTCCAGTCTAGAGTTCCCAAAACAACTCTGGCAGGCCGGGGATTTTTAGAGCAGTTGCATGTGTGCTTAGCATTATTACACAATTCGTTTTTTGGAGTACATCACAATAAAACAATCGGACCTATGCAAACACTTTCAACAGTTCGTGTATATTTTCAAAACGGTATCACGACAGAGATGGGAATGTAGGACAAGGCGATTAAAAATGGCTGCTGCCCAGAACAAAGCAACAATAAAACTGGGCAGCGGAGAAGACAAGTAAAATTGGAGATTTTTCACAATCACCCGCATCCATAACTTACCGATTCAAAGACTTAGTGTATCTTCTGGTCAGTGAGACTGATATATTTCCACAAAATGTTGTAAATTCAAAGGATTGATGGCGATTGCAAGCCCAATCTTAAACCGATCGCGGCGTTGTTGCTGGGATTCTACCCGGCCTGGAAATGAACAGAGCTGAGTGTAGGCTGGATCGGCTCGGCTGCGAGCGTCATACGTCACACAACGTCGTTGGCAAGGAAACGCACCAAAAAAAGCGCCTCTTCTGGACAAATTCAGTCCCTAGACACCCCTATTCATTTTTTAGCAATGTTCATATTCTTTTAAATATAAACATTAGATTAACAACAGCAGTAAGTGTCACTGCACAAAAAGGGAGCACCCATGCAGTTATTATAACATGAGCTGGTGTATATCCTGCAGAAGCTGGAATGGGCTTCAGCAGGGTATACGCAATGTTTACAATGTTATCTTTAATTTATCTATAGATAGATTAGCGTAGACTACTTCGCAGATAATTTTTCTGATACAGCGTCCACAAAGTAACTGTACACAATTATAAGAATCTTCACTCTCGTGGTAAAATAGCTTACATTTAGTGCTCTTTCAACAACTGATTGCAGCCTATAATTTATTTAACGCTCACAATTTAATCATGCATGTAGGGTTATGTATACCCTGTCAATTAAAACCTGTTAAATCCCAAGGTCGCCGCCGGCGGGGACCCTGTTTTTTTTTTTTCACGATACTGTGTCTCAGGGGATCTTAATATTTAAGAACCTATTAATGTGTTATACCAGATTAACGGGAATAATCTCAGCTAACTGACGATACAAACCATTTTTACCAAAACAAAACACAAGTCTCATAAGAAGCATCTAAATGACCCCTTAGCGAAAAAAGCTAACGGACATTGGCACAGAACTCAAGATAAAAGTACCCTTATTACTTATCGTAGCTGCACATACAAGAGATATCCGATTAAAGCTGAGGTTCCACAGATTATTTAGGTATATAGTATCATCACTGAGTGATCCGAACTCGCGACAGGGGAAGCAAACACAGACATCACAACACGTACGGAGCTTCTAGGGAGATCGTCTCACCGTAGCTGTCAATCTGATCAAAAGACGTGTTCAATGGCATTAAAACGAGAAAAAATGCGGCTGAATCGGTTAATCCATAGGTTTTTAACGTCTCTGTATAAAAAAATCATTTCATTTATAATCCATAATTCCATTTTTATGTAAAAATCGCAGAGCAAAAGTTAGCTACTAATGGTAGCCACCAGAGTGGCTGCTGCTTCCGTTCTTGGCTATGTGGCAGTCTAACACACACACATTACCAAAGAAGGACTATGTGTGAGTTCCCCTCGATTCCATTGGCTCTGACGGTCAGAAAGAGATGTCACATGTCAAAATCCAGCAAGGGGGGCCAGAGATATGGAAAATCCACCCAAATGGCCCCAGAAGAGGTTTTTTTTTGCTAAATCTGTCTAAAAAGGTCAAATATCACTTGTTTTGCATCAATCTTAATACAGGGTACTTATTATATGTTGTACTTTGGATTCCTAAATCTTTTAGTACTAACCCATCATCCAAGGTTAGTTTTCACTATAAGTACAAAATATTTTTTGGACGGACACTATAATTTACAGTTTTTTACCATGTTCAATCTGAATTTTCTTTAAAATAAAAAAACATCTATATTTATTCAGACTTTTCTACATCCAACTCACAGGTTTATTATTACTTTGAGAAAAAATATTATTAATTTAACCCTTTTAGAAGGGAAGATATGGTCATTTGTTCTGGGAATGTCATTTTCGAGCCTGAAACCTGAAAAACAGGCTCGGGGTTTAACAGGTTTTTTAAATATATGTGAGGAATACATTACACTATATGTTAATATATTGTAAATATGTACATAGAGAAATTAACTCAGCAAATCAGAAACTCAATGAAGCTAAAGAGCCTTAAAAGTGACTTAAACTATGTCAGAGTGTGTTTACATTCACATAAGTGTTATAGTTTGGATTCATATTCTGAATCTGACTCTATACCGTTCTTCTTATTAAAAAAGCCTCCAAGCCTAAATCCCTTTATGAGCATTAAAAGAAAATCAACATAACATGCTGCTTCTCTTCATTTAATCGTTTATTTGAACTGGGACAATGCACATTAATGAACATTTTAAACAAAAATAATGCTTTCAAATGTAAGTGAGCCGGATTTTAGCTTTGAGCTAATTTCCATCCGTAGTCCCGTCACATACAACATTTATGAACATATATAACATTCATATACATGGCAAACAGAAATACATGATATGCAGAAAGAGCATGAGCAGCATACATTTCTCCTTCACAGAAAATATGTCTGTAAAGGGAACATAATGATAACTTCCGCTGAAAGAGATTTTCAATTTTTAAAATATATACTGTAGGACAAAATGAGATAAAATAATTGAAGGAATTCAATCAGACAATCAGCAAAACAAGGAGATGAGGAATACTGAAAGATAGAACAACAGACACAGTG